TTTGTTCTGTCATCAATAGTTTTCGCAGCGCACGCGATGTAAGGTAGTTTTTTTATATTTTTTTAACACCTTGGATTACGTTATCGTAATTTTAGTAAGGATGCCTATTTTTTTTAAATAAAATATAGCCTATGTCACTCAGGAATGATGTATATTATATAGTCTCCCGATTTTGATAAAATTAATATCTCTATATATATCTCTAATTTGATAAAAATTTGTTTACTACTGAAAGAGTTTTAATTTTTGTTCTAAAATTAGTTTCCGATCGTTTCTATGCAGCTATTTGATATGATCCGTCCCGTTCCGATTCATAACGAGTGAGAGTGCATAAAAGACTAATTATAAAGTTTCTTTCAGATAGCTTTAAAACTACGAAACTATTTTGCTTGATCGACTCGGCTGTTAATGCTGATCAAGAATATATAGATATAGTCGGAGCTGACTCCTTCACTGCGTTGCAAAGTTCAAAAAATTTAATACCCTGCAAGGGTATAATAAAGGGACAAAAACAACTTATACATGGCCACACTAAAAGCAACTAGAGCAGTGTATGATAGGAATCTTTACTTTAAGGAAATAATTCAACAATTGGTCTTAACGACCCCTAAAAAAAACATTATATACTCACGTTTCATTTAAAATTTTCTCCTTTAATACATTGCACAAACAAAAAATGCAATTGTATTAACCACCACTTCAGGTATGCAGAAGAGTTTGGTGACGATTATCAGTCACCAAACAGAATCTTATTAATCTATTAATCTTTATTCTCTCCAAGTGAAACGACGTTTTTTTTCTTGCATTCTTGATTTTTGTTTAACTTTGCAACTATCCACAGGAGTTTCAATTTAATATTCTATATTGTGTTAAATAACTCCCCTTTTTCTTTGTGCCTTTCCCGTTTATCCGTTGCTTGTGCCGTCGTGACTGCATAACGTTTCTTGTTTACTCCCACGCTCTCAACTCAGGCACTCTCCCTCATTACTGCAGGTGACATTACAATCGGCTGCTGACTGTGCGTCATCATATTACATGCTAATTGCAATGGTGTTGTAGCTCGGATTTTTTACGATGAAAAAAAACATCGGCGCTACTGCTGTGGGGCCTGTCGCCAGGTAAAACCAGAAATGATTTCTTTTATGCGACAAACCAAGAGTGGTTTTACAAACATATTATTATTATTCTTTAGTTCGTCCGATCTTAGAATTGGGTTTTTGCGTTCAGAGCCCGCCCGACATCCCCTAGTGACTTAATCAGGTGAGCTCCGAAGTGAAGCGCTGATTTGGTTGAATGCTGAGCAGTACTCCGGTGTCTCCTGCCCTTCCAATTTATTGCCACTTCTGCAGTATGGATTATAGGATTGCCCAAATTGTAATTGGCTAGTTACTTCAAATGATCGTGAATTTCTGTCTAAACTAAGTCTGTTGTGTTATGTAAGATTTCCTCTGACCCTTTCCTGGTCAGCTTTTTAATTTCCTGGTATGTCTTTATGTCCGAGTACCCAACCCATTTGTACCCTGTTATCCTCTGCTCGTCTAATTAGTGCCTCATTGCATTTGGCCACTAGTGTCGAAATAGTCCTTGGTGTTGCTAGGGATTTGTTGGCCGCTTGGCTATCTTACCTCGGTATTCCGGAGATATCAATTTAATGAGAGTTTGACAGTATTGCGAGAACCTCCGCCTGAAATACAGTCGCTGACGCTTGGAGGTGAGAGGACTGTTCTACTGCCGAACCCGGCTCCTACCCTGCGGCTCATACTTGAGAGAGTAATACCTCATCCGGCTCGGGTACACTCCCTGTTCTCCATTCTTCCCTTGTTGGGTATATCGTGGTATATACATTGCCAAATTGCAGTGTTCCTGATGAAATGCTCTATTGGGATAATATTGGGAATGACTATCAGCGCTTCCGCCGGACATGATTTTTGTGCAACCTTGGCGGCATCTGAGCATGCAAATTTCTGAATTCTTATAAACTTCTGGATGTTGTGATGCCCCAGTGTTTCCCGAATATTCATGTTTTGTGTCCATGACAGCTTATTGCGATAGTTCTTGTTTTTAATTTGGGGATCTTTGTTCATCTTGTGAAAAGCATAAGCTCCATTTTTTATCTGGGTTAATGTCCAATCCACATGCATTTGCCCATGCATTTAGTCTAGTGAGTGCCCATGTCATTAATTCGCGTCGGGGAATGGTCGTGAAGTCAGTAGGACAACGTCATCTGTGTATGCTACCACTTTTACTCCTTCACTGTAGAGTGCTTTTAATATGTCATCCATGTTTATCAGCCAGAGCAGTGGAGGAAGAATTCCACCCTGAGGTGTACTTCTTCACAAATCTTGTGTAAGGAGTGCCACTCAGTTTGTCTCTTATCCGTCTACTGTTAACAGTGCGCAGATCAAGGTTCTGAAGCCTTCTTCAATTCCGATCTTGTTGAGGGGCCTCAGAATGGAATCTGCGTTTACGTTATTGTACGTCTTAGAAGGTGGCCAAAGTATAATTTCTGAGAAGCAGAGCCTTTTCTCCGTTTTACCTCTGTGGGTATCTAGTATCCGTTCCAGTGTTTTTATAAGAATTGTGGTCAGACTTAACGGCCTGTAATCCTTGGCTTGGATGTGTTCCCTTCTACCTGGTTTGGGTATGAAAACTATTCCTGCTTCCTTCCACGAAAGTGGTATGTGTTTTTTTATATATGTTTTTGTTGTCTGCAGGATTGTTGGTATGATTCCGTCCCGACCCAATGGATTGTTTCAATAGTGACTATCTCTTCCACTCGTATCTGTTGGACTGCCCTTTGACTCTCGTTTTTCCAGGTTCTTCTATCTGAGAAGTGTATATCCAGCAGGATTTGCAGTGACTTTTCTACTGGCGTCGTTCGTGTGCCGTCAGGCCAGTTTATAAGTGTACCATACTTAGCGTTATTTTTTATTCCTTCTAGGGGTTCGCATTAGCTGCTCCAAGGGTGCTCCTTGGACGGTCGCCAGTCTTTGGCTTCGTATTTAGCTTGTATTGAAGGCCTTCCTTACCTTTTTTCTGAGTTCGCTGAACTCTTTGCTCCACCATTGTGGGTATGTCTCCTTCGAGAGAAGATAAAATATTTGTAATCCTTGACGTCCTTGTCAATTCTTCTGGGGTGGACGGAACCTTGATCCTTCTGTTTTTCACCTTAGACTGTTTAATTTTTCCGTATTTTTCACGGTCAGTATTGCGGGGATTGCGTTTTGTTGCTATCCTCTGTATCGGCATCGAGATTTTATGGTCTGATTTTATGGTCTGAAAAAGACTGGTGTGTCGAGACCTTTAATTTTCCTATCTTATAATTGCTGTGCTCCATTTGTGGAGTTATGTCTAGGACCTCTTCCCAGCCATGAAATTTTTCCGTACTTAGAAAAATTAAGGTGGATGTTTCGCCCTTGTAACAAATAGAACCGTCATGATATGTAATACTATCGAAAAGGGACTCACCCCTCTCGTTTCTTTCCTTACTTTCCCACAGTGTGCCTGGCGTCTTCTCAGCACCGGGGGCGCCGGTTCGTCGTGGACCAAGTAGCCGGAGGCTATAAGTATGGTTGTCCCGTCCGCTGCTTCAAACCTGGCCACTGCTAGATCTGAGTTGTGAAGGTTTCCTCGGTCAGCCTGTCGAGTTGGCCATGGCCATGCCAGAGATTTGACCGTCCATAATCCATGACTCTTGTACTAAGCCGATGTCTATGTACTTCTGTCGGAAAAGAACAGCAAGTTTTCCGCAAGCGTGCGAGCTCCTCTTGTCTTAGCAACGCACTCTGCCAGGAAGTTCCTCGATGACTCGTCGTCACTCCTGATCACCCGCCCCCTAATCATATCTAAGGAGTAAAAGGATGGTCTCGGACCAAATGGCTTGATAGTAATTTCCTTGTTACCATCTCAGACAGTCTGGTCTCGACCTCCTCTTCGGAGCATATGTTGATGGTTGTATCATTTGGGGAGTTACCACTGGTCACCGAACTCGACGGAGTGAGCGTCTCGTCATCCAAGCGCATCATCGTCGATTTCGGAGATTAGGTGGGGTTTTACCTCCCCCATAGGGTCCGAATCGGATTTTGTGTTGTGCTAGGGCATTGTGTTTAGGGCATTGAAAAAGGTTGACCGTGGATTAGCCCCACAGACACGGCAAGGCCACTTCCAACCTAGGGTTGCCTGGCCCTGGGTAAGCTACTTTCAACCCCAGCTGGATTAGCCCCTCAGCTGCGAGCCCTATAGTCAGAGGGCACGGGTCGATTTACACGCCTGACTTGAGGGGAGGCTTTTCATGACTTACCCAGGTCACGGAAGGGGATAGAATCATTGGGTGTGGGAGTCAACTAGAACGTTTCCAGAATGTACCGCGCGGAGGACCTTCTCCGAGGAGAAGGTGGTGTTTATCTATTGATAAATATCTGCGAGTCGACTTGATGCACTACTCAGCCAAGGAACATATATCAGCAAAAGCTATGCTGATCTTGCCTTGGTCTGATGCACCCTTACGACCCGAACTATGCTAGGCATTACTTTTATTTATAACCTCATCCATGGTGATGAACTACTGATGAACTACTAGATCCTATATACCAAAAGTTTTGCACCATCGTAGAACATTCTTTTAATTTTTTAATTTAATTTTTAACATAAATATGTATAATTTATATTGTATTAATTCCTAGTCGTTGAAGTTCTATCTTCTCATACTGTTGCTCTTTTGTCGCTCTGCGGTTTAGCATTTGTCAACTGCTGATCTCTGCTGCGTTACTGCTTTCCTTCTACCACTGATCTCTGCTGCATTACTGCTTTTCTTCAACTGTTGTTTCTCTGCTGGTGTACTGCTTTAATTTTGCATTCCTACTACACTATCATACATACATAAATATTAAAGTAGTAGTAAATAAAGGGTCTCGAATACTTTTTATTTTTAAATATTTATTTAAAATCACTTTATCACTTAAATAAAGCACTTTAAACTCATTACACATCCCAACAAAAACTTGTTGTAGTTAAAATGATGGCGCTACAACACGGAAAAAATTATTTGCTAACTCAATGCCAAAGAAACAAGCAGCATTGGCGGGGAATGCGCGAATCATTATTGGCGTAACACCACGATATAAAGCAAGGGGACCATCTTTAACAATCAAGTCTTTGAATACGCTGCGAATTCCATGCTTGTATGTTCCCTCTGGTGCTAAAACGGCACAAGGGTTATAATGTCTTATTTATATGTAATATATTATACTCACCTGATTGCAACCGACTCTTTAAAACATCTGCCGGCATTCCTAAAATCCAGTATGCCATTCCGGCAACGCCACCAGCAAAAATAGTTGAGGCTGTGCTAATTTGACCAGTTGGTGATGTACTTTTAGCCACGTCCTGAATATATTCATATACCAAAAAATACAAGCCGTTGGCAGGCAAATCTGAAAGGCGTATTTTTGATGTTATTATAAGGTCTGCTTCGGTTTTTACAGTTTATTTTTTATTTCGATTCGGGTGAAATCGTTCGATTTCGTTTTTATCTTTTTCAGTTTTCACTTTATTTTTGCTACCGGAATGTTTCGTTTTCTCATCGTTTATTACTGCTTGACTTGTTATTTGGTCAAAAGCTAATACAAAATAAACCTTTTATATTTGTAATTGCTTACACTTTTTTACCCTTGCAGGGTATTATACTTTCATTCAGAAGTTAGCAACGCAGTGAAGGAAGCATAAAGTATATATATTCTTGATCAGCATCAACAGCCGAATCGATCTAACCATAACCGTCTGTTCTTCTGTCCTTCTGTCCATTATCATATAGCTGCCATTGGAACAATCTGAACATTTTTGGAAAAAAATTATAACTTTTTCAATTTAAATCAGAGATTTTCATCATATATATAGATATAGCCATATTATATTATTTTACAATTTTGTGAAATATTTTATAAAAATCGGACTTCTATATCATATATGATAACATATCAAAAATGATAACTTTTTCAGTTTTCAATAGATTTTCATCAAACTTGACCTGCCATACAAACGATCGTTAAATATAGAGGAAAATGCAGGCATTACTTAATTGTTTTTTAACATAAATATATATAATTTATATTGTATTGATTCCTAGTGATCGAAGATCTATCTGCAACGGTATATAACCTTCGGCGTGCCGAACTTTAGCTTCCTTTCTTGTTATATATAAATTCAACCCTAAACAGTTGTTTCCCACACAAAACGTCTGCTACATTTTTCACAGTTTTAATTCCGGTGGTCTCAATTACCTTGTTACTGCATTTTTCCCATTGAATAATATAATTAAAAGCCATTAATATAAACAACATTTTTTAAAGATATTAATGCTTTATTTTACATTTAAAGTCTTGTTAACTGGCTGTTTTATGCCAGAATGTCAGAATGATCTATTGATACTACGGAATAAACTTCAATAGACCACTGAGTAAACTAATATTTCCCTTATTCCCTTATTTTGAGACCAAAAATTATTATTAGAAATGGTTTTAGTTCACCAGATCCTTTTTTGTTAAATTTATATAAAAATAGGCAAACCAATTTAAACCAGTCGAATTTGAAGCAAATTTGAAACATTCGACATAAAATCATTTCTAGCTATACGCACACTTTTCTTTCTGGCTTGATTAAAGCTGTTATTACGTTATTACGTAGTCACGATTCAGGGAGTGGACTACCCTCTCATTTTAAAAAGATCTATTTTTAACTTAATTTTGATGCCGATATTCTTACGGTCATTTTAAGACATCGGGCTTAAAAATATCTCATTACTTGTAGATTCTTAAGCCATTAGAAGTGAGCGCAGGCGGTATACCTTAGAGTACTTTCTTTATCTTCTTTTGCCTTTTTCTCAAAACTACGTTTTTTAAACTGGCGTCTGGATCGATTCTGTTCAAATTTTTACACAGCTTCCCTATAACGTCCTCTATGGCATGCCGTAATATTTTTTAGATATATTTTTTTTAAGTTATAAATTTTTAAAACAATAATTTCGTTTAAAAAAAGTTTATTTTTAAAGTGCTCCCATTTGCCAAAAACGGCTACGCCATTCTATAGCCGTATTTATTTAGTTTATACAAAAATGTTGTATTTGAATTTCAGATAACAAATGTGTTGTGCAGCATGTACACCATACGACCATTCTCTAAAAATTCCTTTTTTTGACTGGCTATATCTCCGCCATTCGTAATTCTTTTTTTTTTAAGTATTTTTTAGTTTAACAAATGTACTTTGATGTACTAATAAATAAAAAGTTGTTTTCTTAATAACTGCCAAAAGGAAATTTTAAAAAAAACCCTCCAATTTACAGGCGTTCAGGGTGGTCAACCCCTTTAAAGGGAACGCTGAATCTAATATCTGTTTATGATTCACAGGGGAGGTTTTTTGTTTAGTTCCAATAATGACATATGTATATGATAAAGTAGTCGTTTTCATAAAATTAAACAGGAAATTATAAAATGTATATCTTAAATTAACTGAAAGTATGTTGAGAACTGAATAAGTTATCATTTTTTTCTTACAATTTTCTGATCGTTCCTATGACAGCCATATGAAATAGACGTCCGATCCAGCCCGTTCCGACTTTTATTCTAGTAGAAGCATATATGTAAAGGAGTAACTGAAGTTTTATTCCGAATGATTCAAAACTAAGTGGCAAGTTTGTGTAGAAACAGACATTCGGACACATATAGATTGACTCAACTGTTGATGCTGATCCAGAATATTTGTACTTAATATGGTCGGAAATGTCTCCTCACTGCGTTGCAAACTTCTGACTAAAATTAAAATACTCTGCGACGGTATAAAAATCACAGCTTTCAGAAGCTAGCTAGCTTTTGACAAACAGCTGTTTGCTTTGTTTTAAGACTGAAATGAACGCTAGAATCGCTGCGCAAGAAAATGCAATCCAAAAGAACTTAGTGGCTCAAAGAATGGAATTTCAAGTAAAGGGAGGAAAATAAAATTTGTGATATACTTATTTTCAATTCTTATCAAACAAAGCTAAAAATAGGGTTTTGAAAGCTAGTTAAAAGCATAGACAATTTAAGTTGAGTTCGACTAGAAATTTTTTATAATTCTAAAAAAAGATTTGTCAGTTTTAAAATTTTACTTTGGAAAATATACAGAAAGAATAGATTTCGGTACCTGTTCTTCATGCTCATTAAATATCGTAGAAATCTTTTTGTGAATTTCTAACTGCTCTGGCCCTGAGTGCTGAGTGGAAAATTAATGTAATCTGCTTTCCTTATTTATGAATTTACTCCACTCCTAACATGTTAAAAAAGAACAATTTTTTTAGCGTTCAGTGGATAATTGTTGTATTAAATTTTTATTTTATTTTTTTTAATTTTTATTATCTCTTTGTCTGGTATACTTTTATTAATATTTTTCACATCAATAGTTATTAACCAAAAAGTTAATAAATAAGAAAGGAAGCTAACATCGGCACGCCGAAGTTTATATGTCCTTGCAGATAGAACTTCGATGACTAGGAATCAATACAATATAAATTCTATATATGTATATATGTTAAAAAACAATGCAGTAATGCCTGCTTTCATTTCATTCACCTATTCATATTATATTAACAGTTTTACATTCACAGATTTTGCTATATGATATAGTCGTCCGGTTTTTATTAAATTTGATACAAAATTTAAGACTAATATAAAATGGCTATACCTCAAATTTGATGAAAATCTGTTGAAAACTGAAAAAGTTATAATTTTTAATTGTATTAATTTCTCGATTGTTCCTATGTGAGCTATATGATATATAAAATACATACATAAAATGTTACACAAAAATGTAACGTAATATAAAATGGCTATATCTCAAATTTGATCACATTCTGTTGAAAACTGAAAATGTTATAATTTTTTGTAAAAATTTTCCGATCATTCCTATGGCAGCTATATGATATAGTCTTCTGATCCTCCCCGTTCCGACATATATACGAATGAGAGTAAATAGAAGACTAACTACAAAGTTTCATTCAGATAGCTTCAAAACTGAGAGACAAGTTTGCGTAAAAACGGAAAGAAGGATAGACGGACTGACGGACAGACGGACATGGCTAGATCGACTCGGCTGTTGATCCTGATCAATAATATATATACTTTATATGGTCGGAGGTGCCTCCTTCACTGCGTTGCAAACTTCTGAATGAAATTATAATTGACACTGGTTCAAACCAAAACCACATCCAAAACCAACAAGTTACACAGACAATTAATACAATCGGACCACAAATTAGTGATACATGACCGAATCAGAAAAATTAATTATAAATCGTCTCGTTCAAAGTCACAAAAATCTTTTTGCCGACCTCAATACAAAACTTCCATACACAACCAAAGTATTAGCTGAAATCAGAACTTCCTCAGACTCCCTGGTGTGTGGAAAATACCACCCATACCTAACATCGTTAAGACAAGAGGTAGAAAAACAAATAATCGAGATGCTTAAAGAAGGCATTATAAGGCCCTCAAAGACCGAAGAAATTAATTACAGATTAGTAATTGATTATAGGAAACTTAATGCACTTATCGCACAGCTTGAAAACAACAAAAAATTTTCGGTGTTAAATCTGAAGGTTAGTTTCTATCAGATACCATTAAAAGAGACGGACATAGAGAAAACAGCAATTGATGTAAATGGGGGAAAATACGAATTTACAATCTATTTTCCAAAAAGCTATACAATACATTTTGAGAGAACACAGGAAAATCTGCTACTTTTACGTAGACGACATTATAGTCTTCAGCAAAGTTGAGGTAGAACATGGCCAAAACCTTGAGAAAGTATTGTCAACCCTTCAGAATGCAAACATGAGAGTCCAAATAGAAAAATGCCAACAATGGCAAAACAAAAAAAAATTAATTTAAAAAAATACGTTAAAGGACCTTCGTTCCTTTTTGGCATGACAATTTATTACAGGCGTTTCATTAAAGAATATGTTAAAAACCTTTAAACATTCTCCTAAGACGCGAAGAAGGCGGTACATCAAAGACCAAGTCAAAAAAGAACCGCAATTAACTTGGGCAAAGAAGCTATAGTGGCATTCAAGAAACTTAAAAATACTCTCGTCTTCAGGAATGTAACTCTTGCATACAAAGATTTCAGAAAAGAATTCCAGTTGACTACAGGTTCCTTCAGCTATGTAATAGATGCAGTATTAGAGTAAAATCATAAACCAGTATCATTCACATCGCGTCCCCTACCGAAAACTGAAGAGAATTATGCTACAAACGAAAGAGAGATGCTCGCAATCGTTTGAGCCCTTCAAAGTTTAAGACAATATCTTTATGGATATTCAAAAGTAGTAATATACATTGATCATCAACCCTTGAGTTTTTCAAATAGCATAAATAACCATAAACCAAAGCTAAAACGCTGAAGAGAT